TAATTTATTAAACATATTGATTGTGTGATTTTTATTGAAGGAACTATTTAGTATAAAGATTAGAAATTTTATGGTCTACCTGACTCTATACTCTATCCTTAAAGTAAAGCTTTTAACTCTACTGCTCGTCTAGTTGCTCGTGCCCCTTTCTTTTCTCATATGTCTCCATATCTTGTTCTCTTGCATTGGCTACCTATAAAATATAGAATAATTTTTAAAATTTGCACGTTTATGTATAAGTCTCAATCTAAATTATTTTCTAAGTATTTATCAGATATATTAATTGAACCTAAACGCCCCGGTTTACGATCGTCTTCTTGTTCTCGCTTTTTCTTAACTCGTGTTAAACACTCTTTTGCCAAATCTGCTTTTGCTTTTTTTTGGTCCTTTTCTCTGGAACTCTCTGCCTACTTCTCTAACTACTTCTCCATCACTTGCGAAGTTCAGAGCGGATCTCAAGACCCATCTGTTTGCAAAAGTCATTGAGGAGCGTTGTTGAAAATTGCGGAAATAGCGCTTTATAAGCTAATTGATTGATTGATTGATTGATTGATTGATTTAGTAGTATTTGAGTGCTTTCAAATCCTGTAAACAAATATATTTTGCACAACGGCGTAACGGTTAAGGCGTCTGGCACTAATGTTGCAGTGATTGGTTTCGAATGCGAAAAGATCCCGGCCTAGCACATGCAAATGTGTGAGATGCCTTAATTCGCGTGTACTTACATGCACTGTGTATTAGTCGTTTGCGCCTCTGGAAAATACATACAAGAAAATAACAAAAAAAATTACAAAATAATTCACCGGATTAAAAAAATATTTTTACCTCAGAAAAAATATCGTTTGTAAGAAATTGCTTACTTGCTGACGTCGAACAATCGTGCCAAACCGTGAAAAACTACACTCAAACATTGACCCTGTGTACCTGCAAGTCGGAACTTTGTAACGGTTCTGTCGGTATGATACCGCTTTCCATGTTTGCTTGCTTCATTGTCGGTCTATCGATACTCGTTATCGGGTTTCTACTTGGTTGAAAAATGCCAATGAATGGTTGAAATTTTGTTGTTGTTTTACTATTAATTTTATTAAAATCAATTCATTTTGTTTATTCAGCAACATTGATTAATTTTGAAGCAAAATCCATGAATAACTTTAGTTGCATCGTTTTTCAAGTTTTAAAATGACGTCTAAACATTTTACACGAATTATTATTCAAAATTTTTTACTGGCAACGGTGAAGGCTGATGAAGAAGAGGGTAATACTGAGGATGATGGCGATGATGATGGCGATGATGATGAAGACGCAGATAAGATCGATGATGATGAGGAAGATGATGATGACATCATATCTTGTTATTTATAACAATTTCTAAAACACTTTGACTGGGAGATACTTTGGCCAACTTGCCTCCCAATTGAATATTTTTATTTTAAATTGCTGAGGTTTTTCTTGAAACCTCCAAACTCAAGTAAACTTGTATAAAAAAACATTAGTTTTTTCATTTGAAAATTTGAAAAGCAAATGCTAATTGAGTAAAAAAATGGTCTCCGGTTAGTTTTAGTAAATTTCTTGGCAAAAAAGTTTCATGCTAAGCCAATTTTATTGGATTTTTTTTTGTTAAATTTTAAAAACAAATGTTAAACAACATTTTATGCAATTGATTTTTAATATTATTAAAACAATTCATGTGAAGTTATTAAAATAAAATGAAAAGAAAGGAAATGTTTTGAAATTGAAGACAATTTGAGAGATACGTAATAAAAACATGAATGTAGAACGAGGTGTCTGACTGAAATGAAATGTATTCACTGTATTAAAAAATTTTTTAATCAAGTGAGAAGGCATTCGGGATGAAGTTTATCGGGGAGTTAGATGTCGATTTAACAAATAATTGAGCGAAAATTTACATTTCAAATTTCGAACGTGTCTCACTCCTCTCTCTCTTTCTCTCTCTCTCTCTCTCTCTTTCTCTTTCTCTCTCTCTCTCTCACACATACACACATGCATACATGTATACATACGCACAAAAACACACACATACATATATACATACATACATAAACACATGGGCGTCTATGGTACATCAAAACGGGTTTATAGCTACCTACATACATACATACATACATACATACATACATACATACATACATATATACAATACATACATATATACAATACATACATACATACATCATGTTCAAGTTGGGTGTGATGGCATTGAAAAGTTTGAATTGTTTGGCTCCGAAATATTTAGAAGAAATATGTATTAAAGTTTCATCTATGTCATCACATGGGCGTCTAAGGTCTGCTGATTCGTACACGCTGTATGTTAGAGATCGGAATCTGAAAACAGCAGACAGAGATTTTGCAGTTGCTGGGCCTATTTTTTGAAACAGCCTACCTATCTAATTACGTACATCTGGGTTATCATTAGCTGAGTTTAAAAAACGTCCAAAGTCTTACCTATTTGGTAACTCCTAGTGATCATGATCATTAATGATGGCTTTGCTTTCAACATGCTATCCCTTAGCTTTCAGCGATTTCTACGAGCAGAGCGCTGATGGGAAGCAAGTATAATTGGCGCTATATAAATTCACAATTCAATTCAACACATTCATCTATACACAAAGAAGAAATTGTTACAATAATGCTTCCCAAAAGTGCAGAGCTTTGCCCCTCTCTTCAAAAAAATTATTGCGTTGGTTTTGGGTAAAATGAAGAAAATTTGAAGTTGATAAGAAAGTTTTTCAAATTTCTTATCCTAAGATACGCAGAAATCTGAATGCTTCGATCGAATTCAACAATTCCTATTTAATTTTTAGATTTTTCTAACGATAGATCGTAAATCATTGAAAGTTTCCTGAGTTCAAAACCATAATTTTTATTTATTTTAAAGCGTGGTAGAACAGAAAAGCTTTTTTCGGTATTCCTATACCACCTTCGGTGTTCAATTGATATGTTGTGGTTGTGCCCAGATGATCAAATATTTTTATACTGTGCCTATTTAATGGTTCCTTGTTTATTCAATGTGAATATTTAGTTTTACGATCTTTCAACATGTGTTTTCATTATCGATAAATACAACACTTTACTTGTTTTCATTATCGATGGTTTCTCTGTTTCTAAATTTATCGGTAGAAAGAATTTCAATTGCTCGTTGTTGAATATTTATAATCGGACGCCAGTGAGTCTTCTCAATAACTTGTTGAATATTTCTTATCGGATGTCTTTGCTCTATGAGTATTAATCTGGCCAATCGTAAATTATAATGGATGTTATTTGGTCAATGGTGCCTTCTTCAGTGTCTTAATCGCTATCATTGGTGTTGTTAGTATATTTTATTATTGTCCCTCTTGTTGAGAGTATTGTTGAAATCTTTTGTTGTTTGTTTATCAGGGGTTGTCGTATGTCAATGGGGATGGAGTTGGCTAACTTCAGAGGGGAATGAATGGAATTACGGTATATTATTTTGGTGTTATTGTCCAGGAATTCTCATGTAATTTCAATATTATGTGCGTATATATATATATATATATATGTGTGTGTGTGTATATATATATATATATATATATGTGTGTGTGTGTGTGTGTGTGTGTGTGGTATTAGCATTAATATACGCTTTTTAGATTGTTATCTCCAAGTGTGATGCGTGCAAATACGTTGATACACTAATCATACAATAATGATGCGAGGCAATGTTTCACGAACTTGTTGAAACGTTTTTCATATCATCGTCGGTTCGATGAAGTTTCAATCAACTGCTGAAATTCGTCAACCTTCTAGAAGAGATAGTTAATGCATTTTGTTTTAATTTTTTGTTTAAATTTTTTTTTAAATTATAACCTTCACAACAATTCGGTAGATACAACATGTATAAATTATTTTCATTTGGCATTAACTCCACATCAGTAGCAGTAATGTAATACAATAAATAAATTTAGTTCAAGTTGCATACATTTGAAAACAATTTTATTTATTTATAATAAATTTTGTCAGTTGGTAGGAAAATGAAGGATAAATCCAGTACAACTCGGTCATCATTATCACCATCACCTCCATTGGAGCTACCCTCAAAACTTCCACTACCACCACCATTCTCATCATCATTATCATCATCATTTCCCCCACCATCATCGTCATCAATACTTTTGGCGGGCTTTTTAACGGCGGCCATGTTGTTTTCCTTCTTGCCTCAAGTGGCAAACTCAGTGAAGTGTTACTCGTGTAAAGATGAGAGTAGCGACTGCAGCGATCCCATGAACGACAGCAGCATTCAGGATCGCCGCATCACAAAGTGCAACAATACGTTTTGCTACAAGAAGAAAACATATTTTTATCTGAATGGTTTCTATATGTCTTGTTTTGTTTGGTGATGATGTATGTATGCAATTCCGTGTATGTACGTGTGAGAGTATGTGCGTGTGTGAGAGAGAGTGTGTGCGTGTGCGCGTGTGTATGCGTGTGTGTGCGTGAGAGTGTGTGTGTGCGTGTGTGTAAAAGTGTGTGCGTGTGCGTGAACGTGAATGTCAGAAATTACTTTAAAAATTGTAGGCTCCACAGAAGTGCGAAGAGGCTGTACTAGCCAAGTTGGGTCTATCGACTGCGTAACAAATTATCGCACGAGCCATGAGGTTACAACGTGTCGGTGCGTCACCGATTACTGTAACGGTTCTGTCGGTTTGAAATCGGTATTCGTGTCGGTTCTGACCATCGTCGGTTTGTCGCTGATCGAGTTTTTCAATTTCGTTTTGTGTTAAAATGTCAAAGATGGTTTTCAGGTTAGACGTTAATATTGTTTAGTAAAATTTATTATGTAAATGAGTTTTATTCTTTAGAATTCCCATAATTAATTTTAACGTTTGGGATGGGATTAAACATTTGGGATGGGATTAAACTTTTGGGATATTGGGTAATTTAAATAACTAAAAGCCAAATATTGAATGACACTTTTTATTTGTACACAATATTATGTTTTATTCATCACGATGACGGTTCGTGAT